AATGCCGTTTACAATAGGCAAGTTTTTTTGTTTATTCTGAAAAGAATTCTTTTTTTTTTTTGTATAAGAAATGTCAAGGATCAAAACTATCACAGCGTGCATAATAACTATGTTTATTTATATGAATAAAAAAATCTTGCTTATTATTCAAATTAATGAGATAATAAGAATGATGAATTCCATTTATCATATCGATCAGAAAATGTCAAAAGATGATTTTCTTCATCCTACCATATATTATACAGGGCAGGACTTCATGCATTGCTTGTTGTTCTTAAATTTTTTGCATGAACAAGTAAATAGAATTTTTATCGATTTAATTTGGTGACGAACATGTCCGTCTTTGAGTAAAGGTGAACCAAGCTGAACTAAATACTCGTTCCATCGAATCACTAGTCCTGTTATGGAATCTACTCTTCTGACTAGTATTCACAATGATAGAAAATTACGACGAGTTTCACTACTAAACCAGAATTTCATTGAATTACGATCAAATAGATTAGTTGAGTGTCCTGCATACTGTAATGTTCTTTAATATTGATTGAAACTGATAATAATATATTAAAAGATATTATACCATACACAAAATAAATTTCCAGAGAAGAAAAATACGATATGACATAAAATACCTGATGTTGAAATTTATACGGTTCTAATTGTTTGTTTTGACTCATATTTGACATGTGATTTAATTCAAGTTCGAAATTTATTTTTACACGCTTTATATTCATTCAATGAGAAAAAAATTGCACAAACATATTCATCTATGTTATCAGCCAAGGACATCGAAATTTTATTCTCATTAATGCATCCAATTAAAAGTATAACTCATTCCATTGTATCAATTAATCACTTTAATTCATTTGACATATTCTTCAATAATAAAATTTTATTTCATTAGATTTCATCATTTAGATGAAAAATACATTCTTTATTTGCAAACTACCAAAAAAAAAAAAAAAATGAAATAATATCTTTTGCACTGATTTAGAGAAAAAAACAGAGATGATAATAGCAAAGATCTTTTGATTATATTGTTTTTATACAAATTTTTTCTTTAAGAATACATATGCAGATTAAAATATTGGGAACGATCATTTTAAGAAGCAACTAACATGAAGATCACTGTTACAGGAATAAGATTAAACGAGAATGCTAGAAGTATAATATTATGTTTTCTTTCTTTCTTTATAGTTTAACATTTCGATCATCAAATGAATCAACACGAAGTTGAAGTTCATGACCATAATAATTTGGATCATCATCAACTTCATCGCCTTGTGAATCATTACGATAAAGACCTGAATCAACTGAATCAAATGGTGCACTAGAACGACGTGGTGCACGTGATAATGAGCCATGACGACGTTTATATTCTGCTGCTTGTTCAGTTAAACGATTTGCAATTGAAAATTTTGGAATACTCAAATGTGATACTAAACAAAGATTAGAGAAAAAAAAACTTTGCACACACAAAAAAAAACTTTTTTGACTTACTAAAGCCGAGACCTTGAAGAAAAAGTCGAATAGCTTCAGCTGCTTTTGCTGGTTGTTCTTCGAGGACAGCACCACCACAATCAGCAAATTCAACATAGGAAGACTTGGCTGGATCACATTTATCATTCGTATCAATAACATCATCTTTATGTGGTGATGAAAATCCTGTTATATTAATAATATTGCAACTACAAGAACAATTATAAAAATCTTCTTGGAGACAAACAAAAGGATTTGTTTTTTTTTTTTGTCATACTTAAGACTTATAGGTGGATTAGCAGTTTTATTCGATTCATTCGGTCGTTCCATTACAATAGGTGTACGTCTAAGGAGCAAAAACAAAATAATTGTGTAATCAAAAATAAAATAACGATTTCTATTAGCCATACTTTAAAAACGAATTAAGAAGTTTGACAACATTTTTAGCACTAACATTTTCTTCCAAATGACGTCGAAGTCCTTGTACTAAGTCTGGATGTGTTGATTGACTCTCCTATATTTCATAATTATCATATTTATGTAAATGAATAACAAGATTATACTAACATAACCTAAATGATACCAAATAAGATATGTCAAAAGTGCATCAGTCCATGTTTCTTGAGGCATATCCTGTGTTGGCCACTAAAAAAATGAAAGTTATATGCAATTTTTAAGTATTAAAAAATCTAAATACTTTAAGAGTAAAACCTTCAAACCATCCAATGCCACGTGAAATACAATTAACCAAAATAAGACCATAGATTTTTGTTGAATATTTCAACTAAAAAACAATTAAAATAAAACCAAAATAATTTTATTTTCAAAGATAAAATGCTAACTGCAAAACGTGTTAAAATATTTGCACCAACACCAACACCAAATCCGATTGCTGTTTTAATACTAAACGATTTTATATGTTAAATTAAATAAGTTCAAAGAAAAAAAAAAACAATACTCTAAATGATCGAATACATCATTAACGGTTTCAGCTAATTGTTCCATAGTTGGATAAACAGATCTAAATTCAATTATCATATATAGAAAAAAAAAATCAAACAATAGATTCAAATGTTTTACGTTGACGGTAATGGATTAGCTCGATCTTCTTGTCCTGGTGCATTAATATGATATATTGTAAAATATTCTGTTATTGGTATCATTTCAGGAGAAGCAAAAAAATGATGGAATTGTGTTGTAGCTAGAAAAAAAAAGAGAAAAACAATCATACATTTGTCCTGAATAATCATTTTAATCTATAATAACATACAATTATATCCAACATCATGATAAGTAACTATGACTGGACGATCAGATGCACCTTGTTGTGTTACCAAAACATAACCATATCGTGTTGAAATCGGAATTGACTAAAATAAAAAAAAATAAATAAAATTTTTAAAATTCATATAACTAACAAACTAACTTTCACAGTATTGATTGAAGTCTCACGTATTGGACTTTCGAGTAATCGATCTTGAGTATCAACTGATGTTGTATAAGTAGCCATTGTGAATTCTAAATGAAATCAAATAAAAATGTTACATCATAAAAAACATGAGTAAGCGAAAGAGCAAAATGTTTTGACAGTCATGTCGATGTACTCGACGTAAAAATGCATTAAAGGTGATAGGAGAGAAAAAAAATCACAAGATATCATATCATCAATATGAAGCTTGTTGATTCTGCAGTAAATGACATCGGCATTCTCGATTGATACATTTAACGCAGCAATCAGTATGAGCATGAGGATGTCACTAAACTGTAATTTTGTCTGAAAATTTCCGACAACAATAAATAAAAAATTGTTTTTATTTAAATTATTCAATAAAATATCGGCAACTATTGATATTTCATCAAGTATGTTGGCACTGTTTTGAAGATGCCGCTGGTTTACGTCGTTTTCGCGTATACTAGCGATTCTCTAGCTTCGTTCAGTCCTATAGTTAAATGAGCTAACTAACATCATTTTTGAGAGAGAATATACATATATGTATATATTTCTCAAATACAGAAGTCATGAGCATTACAAAGATGTGTCAAAAACAGAGAAATGAATTTTTTGATAGGTGAAATTGAAAAAATTCTCACTACTCAAAACTTTTATTACATACATTCTGCTCTTGATTTGCCGATCGAGTTGTTATTTTTGAAAACTTTTTTATATTGAATTAATTTGTATGATTTCTCATGACAAATGAAAAAATGATGCATGCACTCTATTTTCACGGTACTCATGAATATTACTGTTAGTTTATGTTTCTTTTCTTTGATTTTTGCCTATTTTGTTTACTGATATTCATTTATAACATCTATTCCTTCACCAAAAAATTATTTTTTAATGTAAAATATGTAAAAAAAACAATTAATAAAATATTATCGAAAACTAACAATAGTACCGATAGATTGCTAGGAGTCCATAGGTATTGATAGAACTCAAACAGTATTGTGACTTCCCGAAGAGATCATATTTCTTGTTTTTTTCTTTTTAAAATGAGGTATCTCACAGTCTGATGTTTGCATGCTGGAGAAATACAATTCGAGTAATATTTTTCTACATGTAGCGTCGATGTGATGAAGATTATGAGGAAATTGTGGCATGTTTCGATGCTATCTCGGTGAATTTATCGTTTGTGACCTTGAAAGGTATCGAAAGAAAAACAATCATGAGCTTATTCAAGCATTTGAAATACACATGATTTAGTACTGCAATTGATTTTGAACATTTTCAATGAATGAAGAAGTTTGTACAAGAAAGCATCTTGACTACCTCAAACCTTGAAGTTTTTAGTGTGGATAATGAGCAGTATGAGCTGTTGACCTTTTCACTTCACATCCTCGAAAATCTATATTGTTTCCTCCTTCGAAGTAGCAGATTTATAGAGCAACCAATATATCATCGAAAGGTCAATAAAAAATGTAAAGGCCAAGCAGTTAAATTCTGAGATTTGCTAAAAAATGTTACTTATTCGGTCCGATAACGAATATCTATCAAAAGTGAATACAAACGCATGCTTTGTTCTCAAAAGTGCGCTTCTACATTTCTTTTTTATCATAGTGAAGACATAGGTTATGTTTGTTATCTATTTAGCATGGCTTCACAAACTATAACCGTAGAATATAAAAAGCTAATCCAGTAGTTTTTGAATCCTTCGTCAATCAAGAATGTAAGTAACATGCCATTGTCACCATTTCAAAGACATAAAAATGTACGGATGTATTTATTCAATCTAGATTTTTCTCAAACTAGAAATATTCGTACGATAGAAGCATCATTAGAGTACCATGATATTCATTCTTTACTCTTCTCAAAGGCTAGGTAATTAATGCTCACAATTTCTTCTAGAATTAGTAGATATTCTTTTTCTATGTCGTGCATGTTTCACAAATATTCATGCCGGAACCTTTTTCCGTATCACAAGAAAATTTTAATAAGAATAATTAATATGATTCATGATTTATAATCATTAAAGAAATACAAAAATTGAATGACACCAGTATCGAATGATCAATAGTAAGTGTGTTTACCATGGTAAGCATGGCGCATCCTCATTACGACAATGTTGCCAATAGGTTTCGTATCGACCAGTCGATAATTCCATCAATGTCGAATATACGGTTAACTAATTCAACAAAAAAAAAGAAAAGAAATATTAGACAATCTAGATGATTGATAGACCAAGGAAGCATAAATTACCGCATTGAGCATCGGTCTTGATGACAGAACATTGAATAGAGACTCAAATGTAACGTGATCTTGACCTTTTATTTTCATACATTTGATACATGGCGTTAGCCGATCATCGAAGAAAGGTTGTTTTTTCCAGTTATCATAATTTGTCTCAATTACAAACCATAAATTATCTTGACCCATTCGTGTGATATTAACAACTTTGGTACGTTCTCGTGTAATGACAACACCCTAAAAATTGATAATTTAAGGAGAATATGAGAAACAATAATCAGATACTTGTTTAGGGTTTGGTCCACCAACGATATAATAACAAGGAGCTAAGAGTTCTGTTTCACTAAAGTAGTTAACGACTACATCAAAACTTTCTGCTTTTGTAAGCATATCACGTATGGCAAATGTGATAAATGATTGGTTACGGTTAATGTTAAAAATCCATTCAATTAAACCTGCATAACCACCATCAAAACTCGTACGACTATTGACTGAAACACTGAATACGTTCGGCTTCAGACCAGTGAGTACGCCTATGAATCTATCAAAATAAAAACACAAAGACTATTCCCCAAGAAAAGCAAATTTCATAACTATACCCTGCAAAAGTCGTTGTTTTATAGAGTACTTCACCATTTCGGGTAAAATTGATTTGAGCAATCAATGTACGAAGTTTTTCAGTCAATATCCAAGTATTATTTGACATGTCCCAGCTAGAACACAAGTATAACGATGTTTAGTTTTTTTTTGGCTAAGAATTAGTCCCATAGTGTTGGAATCTCATCCAAAAAATCGAAGGTTTTCTATGGAATATTTATTTTTAATAAAGTAGTAACGATAAATGTTGTGATTTTTTTAGCCATTCACCTTAGTTCTAGTGCAAAGAAGATATTACAGACTCTTATCGAATACATACCCGACGAAAACTCCAAAGTCGAGATTTCGTACATGAAAAACATTACCATATTGATCTTGAGCTACCATCGATGTACAGAGCGCAGAGGCTTCGTAGAAAATATTGTAGAGAACGATTTCACCTAAACAAATAGAAGTAGTGCGGTTTGCATGATAGCTCTTTCTCAAAATTAACGTCGACAGAAAATCAGAAAGTCTGAATTTTTTTCGAAGCAAAACTCTACAGTATGTAGATAATACAATTAAAATTGTATATGTATGTGAATACCTAATGGTAATCCTGTTGCTTGACTAATGCCTTTCATTTCATCACCATAAGGTGCTGGTAATGTGTCGGCCATAGCAGGCTATTTTAAAATAAAAATAATGTACTATAAGATAATATCACGTGTCGAATTACTAGCTTATCGTCAATAAGATCTAAGAGAAATTTTAGATTAGGCGAAATATCGATGAGATAAGCTTTGAAGAAAGCAAGAATGTCGATAATCTATAAATAAAAACAAGTTATTCTCAAACAAGGAGACAAAGTAGACAGAGAGAAATAGATTACTTCACTCTTGAATGCAGTTGCAACTTGATTCCAACGTTCCATAGGTGGATCATCCAAATTGACAACATAAGTTGGTACAGCTCGTTCTGGCTTTGGCGGCCATTGGTCATCTAAACATTGTTCTCCGAACTATCAACAAAGAAAAACAAAGAAAAACTTCAACAAATTTCAATTTTATCATTTACAATTCCTTGAATAGCTAGAAATATAAGTAGAAGTGAAATAATTTTGTTTAACATCGTCAGGACGAACTTTAGAAGAGCAAACGACGAAAAGTGTTTTGTCTTGTCAGTGTGAATTTAAATATCTAACTGTTTGCATTAGATAAGCGCTATTTGCATATGACATAGGCGAAAGAGACTTTGCACATAGATAAGTATAAGAAAATATAAACTGACCTATCGTCACATTACTATACTTCTTGTTTTCAAATGAGTTGTGTATTTATTGTGAGTCTTGAAATATGACACTCTGTCAAATAGCTATGCTCGAAAGAGCAACAATATTGATGACGGCAAGTTTTCTCATCTGTCATTCCTTCATTTTATGAAAATCATCGAGAATATTTGATCTATTTTCAAAACACACTTGTTCATGAATTGAAATATTCTTTACTGACACCTATATATTCAGGAAAGATTCATGTTCTGTATCTTCTCGTTTTTCAAAGAATTGTGACTTTTTTGTCTTTGAATATTGTGAATTATAATTTGCCAATGCATATGAGAAAAAGACATATGAACTACAGCTTTCGTCACGGTATTGCGAACAACTCTCATTGTGCGTGTCGGTCGTCCGTGACAATTTATTTTTGATTATCGATTTGTTGCTTATTAGCATAAGATTCCATGGTCAATGACAATTAGGTTTCATCTAAGACCAGAGTTTTTCCTAAACAGTAGGTTCCTTTTTAAAGTTTTAAGCATAGATATGTCAAGCATCATTGAAATTCAGAGTGCCCCGAAATTCCGCCGTAAAAAATGTGAATATATTCTAATCATTTTAAGAAACTTATGTGATTTTTTTTCAATGGTAATAATCTTATGTTTATTGAAGCTTTATTTTATTTATTATGTTTCTGACAAGAGGAAGAAGGCGCTTAAAATATTTCACTTGGATATAGTCAAAGTTGAAAGAGGCATCTTATTATCAAATTTAGTTGATTCGTGTTGAAAGACCTGTTGAAAACTTCGCTTCGGATGTAAAATTGTCCAAGTGAATTGTGCTACTATGACGGGCGTAAGTTCAAAAATATAAAACCAGAATTCTCGTTGGTTCACTCCAATATTATACTTGGGCACAGATGTAATAAGAAGAAAGATGGCAACAATTAAGCAAGTAATACTCGAAATGAGTAAAAGAACGATTCCTTGTTTTTTCATATCTTTTATTGTTATACTCAGAAACCATATTGGATAAAATAAGACGGTTATGCAAAGAACGATGGCTGCTGATGCTTGTAGCAGTCGAAAACTTTTATCTATTGTACTGGGATCGAAGGATAATGATCCAGATAGTCCCTTAAGAATCGCAGATATTATTATGCTTAAAAATGCTCCGATGTAAATTATTCGAGAGAGAGGAGATTTGGCTCCACGAAATTGAATGATAAAATCGTAGTTGGCCATAATAATGGTGCGTTGTCCGATAGCTAGTAGAACCGTAGAGACTGTCGATGCAGGTCTTGAGTTTTGTGTGCTGGGAGCAAGTGCCGCGCGAAGTATGAGCGCGATGACGATGGTCACATGAGAAATCAGCAAAAGAATATTGAGGCGCAATGGTCGAAAGTGCAACTGAATTGATTGAACAATCCATATAATAAGAGAGACGCCTACAAGAGAGGCAATTATAGCGGCGGCCGGTTGACTTGGTTCGTACGATGCATACGTATGCTTGAAGATGTTGGTCATAATACTAAATTAGATAAAATACGAACTGTTGTTGTTAAAAATTCAGAGTAACCATTTCTATTCGACAATATCTAATGGAAATTTGCTTATCAACGCTGTAGTGTAATACTATAGGCGTCCTGAAATGTTGCATACAATATCAGTGTCTTTTTTTGTATTTCTGCAAACCACCTTATCTAGTGAATTCTTCTTATGGCCTTATCTTTTTTCTCTAGTCTTATACACTATACAAAGAGAAGCATGTTATAAGGATCCTCTGATAAATTTTTATTAACTTTATAAGCAACAAAAGGCGAATGAAAGGAGATATGAAGGATATGGTCTGACATATAACACGACAACGCATAGTCAAGTATGATCAAGATACCATTTTACTACTAAGCAAAAAGTTTAATTCTGTGTTTCTTCGTAGTACTGCCTATCTCTACGCTCATTCAATTTCCTTTTTACTATTTTCACTTTGTATAAATGCTGATGTTATTCCATACTAAAGGAAACAAAATATATCATACTTATCTATAAATAGAAAGAAATTGTACTTCTTTATCAAAACAATCTAGCCATTTTGTTGTAAATCATCTGAACTATATCAATCTTTAGTTAGTAAGAAAATGATGAGCTAAAAATAAGAACATTATGCTCCAATAACTTCAAGAAAAAGATAAGTATATAAATAGATAAAAAATTGTTTTACGAAAAATTAACAATGACCAATAGGATGAGTACTCATTGTGAATATGGTGCAGAGATGGTATATACTCACAATGACATACCAGGCTTGGAATCGGACCGGCCAGTTTTCACCGTTTTTTTTTCATCAACTTTTTCATCTTCAGATCTATAGTTCAAAACATATATATACTTTCTTAAGTTTCATTACGTTTTCATCGAAGTATCCAGCTGTTTTGACAAAAAATGCAAAAACGTAGTAAAACATCAGCAAAATTCCCTATTTTTTGTGCATGTAAATAAATGATTTCATTTGGTCAACATTAGAACACAATTAGAGAGCTATTTGCGTTGCATCTTGAACTATAGATCTGAAGTTCCTCTATCTAAATCAAAGGTCATAATCGAAACTTCATATGTATTGTATGTCACTTTCATGCATTCTTTTCTATATTTTTCAAAGATGATCAGTTTTAAAAGAATTTCGTCTGACACATTATCAGAGAAAAAGATATTCTAACTCCTCCTCTTTCGATTGGTGAAAACCGCAGGTCTCTAGCTCTTTGTTTTCTCGAATTATTCAAAAAACAGTCACACGCATGAACTTTTTAAACGGACTATAATAGAAATATGTTTTTCTTAAATAATTGTCTTTCTCGAGTTATCCAAACAAATCATAAATATAATAACAATCTTTTTTAATTTATCAATCGGATTCAGTTTTTATTAGCAATAAACATGGTAGAACGTCTAAGACCATTCGTGTAATTATATATATTTCATCGTAGTTTCAAGTATCTTTGTATACTGCTTGGTACTCCTGTGGTAGTGAAGTACGTTTTTTCCCTTATGTTGTCTCCTTGAAATATTCCTGAAAAGAAATCTATAATGTGTCAGAAATTTTTCACTTTACGAATTTTTTATTAGTATAATATGGCTGAAGAACGTATGTGAGTTCTACATTTTAGTATCCAAAAGACTGAGCTAACCAGTTTTTCAATCTCATTGTGCCATTTTTCATCTGTACACTAAAGCCAACCGAGCACTGTCGTCATCAAACTGCAATGACAGCGGCCATTTTGTACGTATTGTGGCTCTCTTCTACCGACTTGTTTTTTTTCTCATGTTGCAGAAGAATACAGATAGGTATGCGCATGTATGTATCTCAATGTTTAATAGTGCGTGACCAATGTACAAATCATACCACGTAGTTCTTTGCTATTATCATTTATTTATTTATTTGTTTATCGTTTTTTAGGATTATCATGGACATGTCTGATCGAAAGGATTTTAGATCTACGTGAGTTGAATAATCCATTTTACTATGAGAATGTTTGTTTAAAACATTTAGGTATCTTTGTAAAGTTTATAATTGACAAATTCTCACACTTCTCGATTTATATTGTTCTTCTTATTGACAAACCTTGCAGAGCCAGGAAATATACTGACGTTACGTTGATTTTGAGTCTTTTTTGGTTGAATTGAGTTTTCTAAGGGTTTTCTCTTGCGTTGACAGAGAGCTTAGTAGAACTCTCAAAATACATGCTTTCTAATTGTAGATAGATCCATGAGCTTTATAACGATTTCTGGAAATTGTGAAATAGTCGCTTATTGTAAATCATATTGGATTTTTTCAATGTTGTGTATATAGTTCGATAGACTTTCGAAGTAATCTAATACCTAAGACAATGTGATTGTTCGACTTATCGTTCGTTAGATTTTTTCGAATCTCTAAGAGGCATTGGACAATAGAGATGATCAATCCTTCTCAACGAATGTCGTCAATATAAAATGAAATTTTGTTTGAATGTAGGCCTCGCACTACATACGAGCTTATCTCATATGATGAAAGTGTACATGTTCATCAGAGTTTAGAGAAGACATAGATAGCTGCCGTTACATGCGTTCACATTGAAACATGAATTATAGAACTAAAGGATTACTCACTTCTAAAGTTCCGCTTTATAGATGAGCTTGTAAACAATGAATATAATACTGTCGCCTCAAAATTTAAATATTGTTTGAAAATGCAACAGAGAATATGGATTTCTAAACAAATATTATATACTTTTACTCTGATCTATTTGAAAGTAAGAAACTGCAACGGAAATGTTTCGATAATATTCAATTAAAATAGTTAGAGTTTTATTAAACTTCCGTTAATATTGTTGAGCATCACAATTCATAACACTTTAAAATTGCTTTTGGCTAAAATATAGTTTGTTGAATTCTATATCGAATGATATGCAAAAGAACTATCAGCTATTACATACTTAATGTTGAAAAGCTCCTTATATAATTATATATAATTACATATGGCAAGATTTTTTTTATTCATTTTCGAATGGAAGATGGTAGGATGGCTATTACTCATCATTCGAAAAGAATGAAGCTCAGAAAAGACAGTGCGTCTCGACTGAGATTCAAACAGGTAGCATCACAAGTAATAACTAGTCAGATGCTTTTAACAACTAAGCTTTCGAGACAGTTTTAACTCATATTCCAATTTAAGGTGAGCATTCATTTTAATTCTTTCGAGTAATATTACGAATGGAGACTTCGTTGTACGAAGGTTAACTTTAATCGACGTCGATAATCAAAGATTTAAAAATAAGCCCGTTTGTTGCAATTGAATGAAAGCATATATAATTATATATAAT